CCTATATGGCATGGGTGTCAAACTCACTGCATCATGAGATGTGTCGCAATATATAGCGACTTTTTTCGCATTGCTGGAGCTGCAGTGGGCTTGGCCTCCGTATGATTCAACCGGCCCACGGGCCATCAGTTTGACACCCCTGCTATATAGGTTTGTGTTCCTCTATAGTTTTATTTTTGATTTTGCTTCGTAAAACAACTTTTTTGTATTGTAGCATTTACAGTGTGGATCTTATTTCACTAAATTGTGAATGAACTTTCAAAATGTGCATTCTGAGAAAATTTGCAGAAAGAGATTATATATAATTAAAAAGGAAGGGATTTACATGAAAGAAAAGACTATCTATTACCAGATTTTGTGCTTGCAAAGCTCTTTGTCTTGACCACCCCCAAGTTAGTCAATAGGCCCTTTCCTGTGGCAAGTAAGATTTGCTTCCAAGTGACCACACACAGACAGTTGATAAACTGAAGGACTCGGTTCTTCTTATTTTGCAGGAGATGATGTGCCAAAAATGTGTAAGCAGGCATGCTAGTACACAGTTAGTGGATTAGTCCTTTTGGATATGCCTTTGTTTATCATTCTCATCATGCAAATGTACATGTGTACACACATGCTCACACGCACACAACTGAATTCAAGAGAGATAGGAGAAAAGTTGTCTAGAAGAAAAAAGGGTGTGCTGATTCATAGGATTCAGCCAAGGAAATCATGCTTCTGGATGAGTTCTAGTCTTTTTTTTTTTTTTTTTTCAAAGAAGCAAGACCAGAAGAGGCTGCAGCCTTATCTTTACATGAAGAGACAAATAGAAAGCTGTATTGTCTCCTGTGTAATTGTGCCCAGCAGTTTGAAGCAGACGACATATTTTAAGAGAAAAATATTTCTAAAACATATGGAATCCATGTATATTAAAAAGAATTGAATCATATACTTGCCTTTCCTAGAGTACAAGGATGACTTCATATATAAAGAAAGATGTGCTATCCAAATAGGATTGCTCACTTGCACCTACTCCCTGAATGGAAAGAAGAAAAAATAAATGCTTAATAAGTAAATTGGTACCTACTGCAATGAACTTGAGAATATGACCCTAATTTTTACCTAACAGATACTTCTCTTTAATAAATGGACTGTGCTATATGCCTAAAGTCTGTGCATAGTTGGTGTTAAAAACTGTCTTACCTTAATCCATCCTTATCATTTAACTCTGACTTCTGCATTCCTGACTTCTTCTCTTTGAATACTATTGTGATCTTGGAGCTTTAGGATGCTATCTTACTTTAGGGTTTTCTTTCAGTTTTATGATGCTGGCTTCTGACTCCTTTTAAAACCAGGTTTGGATATTAATTTAATTTTTAATACCTATAAAAACCTGGTCTGCATAAACATCAGGGTGCCTGAGAAATTCCTGAGAAGTTGTTCCTTCACAGAGTCCACACAAAATCTATGCAGCATCCCATTATTAATTCCTCACTATGGAAAGAGTAACTAAATGTGGCTTTTCTGTCTAGCAGATATCTTCACCTCTCAGAGCTTCTCTGTAAAGCAAGATGTATTCTGTGATCAGGTTATGGGAAGAAGCCACAAGAGGATAATGTGAACTGTGACCCCAGCACTTGTCCATTCCAAGCAGCAAATAAAGACTTGGCCAAGCCCACCCACCAGTTCCTCAGAGAAAATCCCAAGCTGTCTCTGGAAACCCACTGGTTCCATCAATTGCCTGAAGCAGGCTGACCAAAGGCACCAGGGAGGGATAACACCAGTGAGTCAGAGAGCAACAAAGGAAAGAATTGATATACTTGGGTCTATTTACATTCCAACATTTTAATTCAAGACATTTCTAATCACTGAATTTTACCTTCAATCCTCAGAACCATTATTTCATCATACCTCAACTGTCCTCAGCAATTGCTCTTCTGGCAATACTGAATATTGCCTGTGTGGTGACTAATGCTCCTACCAATGGACCCCTCAAAATGGCATCCAACTAGCCTCCTCCCCCCCAGGCTTTGTCTTTTTTTCATTCACTCAGAGGGGGAAAACCTTGATTACTCAAGGTGAAAAGAATAGTAAAAAGAGAGGTGAGGCAACATAGTACCTTAATTTCAGCAGGGAGAAGTAAGAGCAGAGGAGCCAAACAGTGGGGGATGAAGCAAAAGTTCTCATGAAGAGGAACAGCCCATCTCACAACTTCAGTATTAATGCTGCAAAATATATTTTCAGTCTTCCATCTGAGTTTCAGCTGAACCAGAAATCAATGTGCTCAGCTAAGAAAAAAACTTCTTCAGCATTTTAAGAACAAGTGTAGAGAGGTCCTTTATTACAAACTCATTTAACTACATTTTGTGATAATGTATATCCCTACTGTAGCATAGAAATGAAAATAATATTACAGAACATATATAACAAAATTGGGACTATCAACAAACAACAGGGTCCCAGCAACATAGAAACAAGCACTGCCCATATAGAGTACTTAAATTCCTTAATCAGAAATAGTTTTCTGCACATTCTGAGCTTAACTTTCTCTGGGCAAAATCTATGATTTGTCTCTCTCCTAAAAGGTCAATATTGTTATATATATAATTTTTAAATAGTTTTTGAGTTGGGTAGGCTATACAATATGTAAATAAATACATTTCTTAATGAATCTGAAAAAGTGAGGTTGATATTGAACCAAAGTGCGGGCTTACCCAGATTAGTAATTTCATGGCTCTCTAAGATCAGTCAGAGGACATTTCCTGACTTCCATGCTATCTATGATACTTTTAATTGGAGTATCAAGGTTTGAATCTGGGGTCTTCTGCATATAAAGCTTCCCTTTGCTAGTGAACAAATGGTATTCCTAACAGGCAAATTGGCATGTAGCAAAAATCACTAAAACTAGGACAGATCATATTTAAGGGGTTTGGTGCCATAACTTGGCTTTCCAGTCTTCTAACTAATAGCAAGATGCTGAAATTATTGGGGGAGGGTTAACCTTTGAGTTTTGAGGACAGAAATTGAATTGGGAGGCCTCTGTGAGGCAAACCACTTTCATTTCTACCTTTAATCTCATATGGAGCAACCCCACATCTATCATCAACATCAACACAGCCCAATTTCAATGTCATGAATTCAAGATATTTTTTTCTTTTGCTAGAAGATAGCTTTTTTATGGGAATGGAAGTGATTTGTCCCATTCTTTCATATATAACCTTAATGTTATGGCACAGTTTTTAAAATGTGCCACCAGAAATCAACTAATTTAACTCTAGATTTTGGTGGCACAAACATTACTTGCTCAGGGGACCAAATGGCACATTGGGAGGCTGTCTGGACCGATGGTAGGACCGAAAAATAGGATAATTAAAAAACAGTTACATTTAAAGAAAATTCAACCCTATATCTAACGTTTCAAGATAATCCAAAATTGGGACGTTAAAATGTGTCAATCCCAAAGACACAGGATGGCTTGTACAAGAATCTGAAATTAACGAGTATTGCACCTGAGCCTTAATGACATTCTAAAAGATTCCTCTATATTATAAAATGGTCTGATCCATATTGTGTGGATATGGTCACAATACCACTTCCCTTTGACTAGCTCTTCTGCCATACTACTAATATAGAAATTCTATAAAGAGGTCAAGAAATCTACCTTTTGAAAGCTGTCAAATTCTACTAAAGAACACATCTGTTATTTTTAAGAGTTATTTCCCTGGTCACTTTTATTTGCTGTTTCTTCTGCCATGTACCGGTAATTAATATTTTTATGAATTGGACAAAGCGAATTTAACCTCCACCAATAGGTGCTACCACATGTATAGCATTTCAATTCCCAGCATCTGTAGTTAGCATACCCAATAATGAAATGAGATGGATGTTGTAATCCAATGATATAAAGGCTATCAAAATGGAGAAAAATAAACCAGAATATGTAGGCATTTCAAATACTTATGTGAACTAAATATTAGCATGGAGTATGCCTATGTGAGGGTCTAGGAGACCAAATTCAAAGGAACAACTTGATGGTAGCAGCTAAATAAGGTAACTTTAATCAAATTCATCAAATTTGTGAGTTGGTGCAAACCGATTCTGATCCTGGAAATCATATTTATTTATTTATGAGACTTATATACCGCTTTAAGTGCAAGCACTCTCTAAGCGGTGTACACCAGTAAGCAATGTATATATATATTTACATTGCCCCCAACAATCTGGGTCCTCATTTTACCTACCTCGGAAGGATGGAAGGCTGAGTCAACCCTATATTCTTCTGTTATGCACTTACCCCAACCAGTACTCTGGAAAGTGGCATCAGAAGGTTCAGTCTCGAACTAAGAAACACCTAATTGTGGGTAAAGTGTTTTGCAAACTGATTGTTTTACTAGAAGCACACAACTGCCTATTAGGGATAGTCCAAGTGATGTGTGGTTAAAGGGAAGATTGACTCCATCTCCAGAGTGACAGATGTGGTATTTTAAAAGTATATGTATTACCAACTAAATGATCAAGCTGTACAATTCTGAGAGCTGAAGTCCCTGCCAAATGATTGTGCTGCACAATTCTAAAAATTGAAGTAAATACATGCAGGGAAGGTGATTCAGATGGGTCAATGTAGATTACCTATATCAAAAAAGTTACATGTAAAGAAAATATTTTTAGGACATCAAGCATAAAATGTGTGCTTTATCAATGGGTCATCTCATGATCCATTCAGCTGAAAATGATACTACTAAAAAAACACACTTTGTATACAAAACTTCCTTACTGGCAGAAGTCTCTGATCTAAGAGAAAGGGGAATTTGTTTGTGGAAATAAACAAATAAACCTCAGTAATTAAAGCAATAAAAAAGATCACATCTATACAATGCTGTACTGCTTTGATTTAATGTAATTTTTGGAGTTTTGAATTCACTAGGTCTGCCCAATGTTTAAAAATACCTTGTGGGAAACTTTAAGCTGTTTTATAGCATAATCCTATAGAAAGTAATAGATGTTTTCCATTCCCCGTACCCATCCAATGTTTTATGCCAAATCAAAGGTTTATTATGTTTACAAGGCCATCAAACATTATTTATGTGTACATTGTACAGTAATATCCAAGCAAGGTGTATACCATTTCAAAATTAAGACAAAAGTATTGACATGACAGTGGCAGAAAAACAAATATATATATTTTAATTGCTCCACATCTATCTTGCTTTCCAACAAAATAGTTTGTTAGATGTGTCTATGATAGACTATATTTTAAAAAGAAAAAATATAGAGGAACAATTCAGATTAAGAAATTTCCAGAATCAGGAATTTCCTGGATCATAATCACAGTTTTTCATCACTCTTTCTTCTTTAAAAATACTTTATCCATTCTTCAAGGCACTGTGATGTTGCAAGTCTTAATTCTAAACATGCATTTCAGAAATAAGCTCTAGTACATATTTTATGGTAAGCAAGTTTGGAATTGAGGCTAAAATCTACAAATAAAATCTAAATATTTAACTTTTAACCGAAATGCAACTAAGTAAGGATTTTCAAAATACAAAGCAAGGCTTGTAGAAAGTCAAATTAACAAGATTTAGAACTGAAAATAATACAATAAATTGTACTATTATTCATATTTAAGTTTGCAAAAAGATCCTGAACAGTGTTTATTAACAAAATTACATTTCTTGTGCTATACATTTCATGCAACACAGGAAAAATCATTTGATAAACCTTTAAAATCAATCAATTTAGCATCACATTATAGTTACAAATTTAAGTGGTGAAACATGAAAGGCACTGAATAACAATTTTAAGACTACGGCTGAGAAATTTTAAGGAGGTTGTTAAATTTTTTGAAACTGAACATTACACATCCTTCATGTGATGGACTTGAATCCATTCATGCAAGTCTGCAAGGTCTTTGATCTCAAACATAGCAGCATTCAATATTATTGTGGGTAAGAGTATTAAACATGTATTTAATCAGTCTACTTTAAGTATAAAAAGAAATGCATTGATCCTTCTTTTTTCAGCTTCTCTAGAGCCAAAGCTAGCACTTGAATAGAATTCATCAGTTCTGGCTATGTTTCCAACCAATATAGATTCCATGGACATTGTAGGTGTTTAAGCTGTACTTTCTTTTATCATGATCTCAACACTATATTCATGGCAAGCAGTGTCTTAACCTTCAATATAACTGAAATTCATGAAACTGTCTTTTTCAAGCTTGTGTGCATGTGTGAGAGAGAAAGAAAGTGAATTAACTGCTGGGATTAAGTCATTATTTAAAATTACTCAGATATTATAATTCCGAAATGTTATCATCATTGAATTTCTAAAACTTTCTGTTTTTAAAAATATTTACGTATTTCTTAGATCTTGAACTGCCAATAACCATATTTCATATAAAGACCAAATACCTTAATTAAAAAGCATCTATGAGTGAAATCCTTCTTTTTTTTTACTTAAAGCATCTCTCACTGAGAGATCCATGACAGAAACTGCCTGCAAGTTGTCATCAGCTTCTCCAAACTTCTTATAATGTGTAAAGGGACTACTTTACTTATGTCCAGGAACTTCTGGCTGCCCAGTGAATTGTTTTACCTTTTTTCCCTTAAAAAGTAGATTTCCCACCACATCACACTGCTTTGCCCTACTGCGTTTTTTGGAGAAATTATATATTATCGTCTTCTACTTGTAAACCTCCATGTTTTTTCCTCAGTTTCTCTTTTTTTTCTGAGCATAGAAATTTTATTAAGGAAAGATGAAACAGTCACACAATATCTTTTGATTAGTACCATTAGAAACATCTATGTGGAAGCACAGTTTCAAAGAAAAGAATTCTGCTTTTCAAAATCACATATCCAAAGCTCCCTTGTGCAAATCTTTGGATCCTGTGCTTTCAAGCTGGCAAATGAGGAATCAGAAAATTGAAAAGTGCTCAGTGCTTACACTGGGTCCTATTTCATTAAGATCCAAAGAAGGCACACAATGAATAATCCTGCATCATAGGTACGTTAAACTGAAGATACCATCCCAGTAATTTTTAAGAGGTGAGACCTACAGTCTGGTCAAACAAGTTTTACGGCTTTTGAAATAATACAAAAGCCTATTTATCAAGAGTGAAAGTTATGTATCTTTATACCATAAATGGTAATTCTCTTTCAAAACAATTTCAGCTCGCTGGAAAAAAAAATGTTTAAAACAGACACCACAGAGAATCTCATAAGTAATCAGTATCTAGCTTCTCTTGCATAGCAACTCTTCAGATGTACACTGTCTGAAATGTTAAATCACCAAGAATGGAAAAAAATAATACTACTATTGCAAACCTACAATATTTCTCTCCTATTGTTGAGCTTTCTTTTGCCATTTAATCATTCTTCTTTCCACCTCTAGATCTTCTTGATAGATCATCTACAACACAGAGCATAACACTACTAGAAGAAAATAAAACAATCAGAGAATTTCATACAAATAAAGGATTTACATAAAAGTTACATGTTAACCAAAATAAGAATAGGCGAGAGAATCCTAAATGTTTCAAGATAAAGACTAGTGGTTTCTGTCTTCTGTATCTGGTGCTTTAAAAAATCAGTAATATTAAATAAAAATGTGAATGTTTATACTTCTTCACAGCATTTTGTGCATTTTTTAAACAGGAATGTTAATCTGAAATACAAAAGCTTGTAATTTTTGTAAGAGTCTCTTAGCTGTACGAAAACAACAATCTTATTGTACGTTGACATTCAGTTGAGCTTCAATTCCACATTAAGATTCTAATAAAGAATGCCACCTACATATTTGTTGTCCTTTTGATTCTTTCATCTCAGTCCAGTGGTTCAGCTCCTCTTCACCAGAACTGTTCAAACCTAAAGAAATCCAGCCTATCATTTCCTTTCGCTTCATGCTGCGTTTGTTATACACAGATAATATAAGCGTAACATCAGAAAGCTGAAAGAGTGCCACTTGAAAAATAAAGGTCTCCTTGTAGACTGGATTTGGCTGCCCTCTTCGGATGGATGTCTTGCATCTGGACATCTCTTGACCCATGGAATTCAGCAATGTCAGCTTAACAAATGTATCTACAAAATAGACAATTTGATACATGAGTTGTATTGGACAAACCATTTCACCTAATATATCAGACTATCTTTAAGATTATGGTGTATACCATGTTGGATTTGAACAATTGACTAAACCTAATAATGTGACAGAGAAAAGTATTTCATTGTGACTTTTAGTTAATTGTACTTATTCTCTCATAGTAAATTGACCTAGAGGTATACCTCATAATCCTACTATTATCCCTTGCTCATTTGCACCAAGCAGACACATATAGCATTAACACTTAGCAAGCTACAACTGGCACAGCACTGTAAAGCATATCAGAGTTTTTAGATCATATAAATAGGTGTATAATGACATGAAAAAAGAAATCACATGTAAAAGAATGGGATTGGAGTGCAGTGATAACATCACATGATGTTCATGATGAAATGTTTGCTTAAAAATCTCTCTGCATGGATGTGGTTTCTCGTCAAGATTTTTATTGGACTTTGTACAATTAAAGTGCCAAAATATAAAATTACCCACATAAAAGTTTATATTTACTCATGTGAATAAAGCCATGCATGATTTTTGCATGCAGATATGTGGCGCAATAAGTAATTAGTACATAATTCTTTTGTACTAATTTTAATGAATAGCATGTCATACCATACTATTCAAGTATAAAATCTTTGCAATGTTTTTGTATAGGAAGCAGTATAAAATAAATTTAATAAATATGATAGTTAAAATATTCAGAGTACAATAAAAAATCCTAGATGCATAGAGGATACATTCCATACCCACAGAGGAAAAGGAAGCAAACTCCCCTCTGTCTGAAGCTCCATGTGTGCACTGGAGCTACTAGACCGTGAATATGAATTCAGTGAAATAGCATTGATATTCAAAACTGTAATTGTTACTGTTGTGTGGAAACACTTTGCCTGGGAAAATACAGTCATAATTATTGAATTGAGTATGTACATCAATTTGTTTGTATTTAAAAACAGAAAGATTTTCTGTCTTTTATTTAGTTTGTTAAATGCATGAATTTGAATTTTTTAAGAAAGAAATTTGGATTGTTTAGAAAAAGAAATGCAATAATGAAATTAAATGTCCAGACATTTATTCACATGTTTATTTTATAAATCTTTGAAATACCACCATCCATAGTCAGAGATCAGCTCTGTCTCCATTATAACAGTGAAATAATTATTGTACATTATCAGAAACCAACATGGTAGAAAGTGGTGGAGAGCTTTGAAGCTGGCAGATTTCTTTTGCATGAAAAAGACAACATCTAATTAGCCTCCACAGGAACTCACCTCGTATTATATAAACCTGTCCACCTATCAAGTGTTTTAGACAACAGAACAGTCCATCTGACAACGGGGGTGGGGTGGAAAGCAGTAAAAGAAATAATGACCAGATGTCAATAGTTGGGTGACACAGGATAAAAGGTTAAAGTTTAAGAGGAAACACTATTCACCAAAGTGAAAGAAAACAGCATCTTAGCAAATCAGTTTTAGAGAAAAGGATCAAGCAAAAAAATGGGCAGGTAGATTAATGAATGAATTTTGTTATGTTCACTGTGTAATCTTTAACAAAAAAAATTACACGGTTTCAAATAATGTAGTATCTTAATAGTAATTTCTGTTGGGTTTAAAACACAAGCGCATAGAGATTCATACAAAAGATCAGGCTACAAACTAGAAATCAAACATGTTCTTTAGCAGACCTTCCTCTTTTTCATGCAAACTCCAGCTTTCTAAGTAAGGATTAATTAAATGAACTCAGACTAGGGAAGGTCAATAGAATTACAAAATTACAATAAAATAAATGATTGTTGAAAGGTATTCTGTGTAAACAAAATAATGAAATCTGATAAAATTAACTTAGCTGGCTACTTTATTCATTTAATGTTACTTTGCTGCATCTTCCATCTGAGAAAATGATTTAAGCTAAAATGCAAGTTTATTAGATCAAAGTTTTAAAAAATAATTCAAAGCTACATGGTTTCTTCAGTGCACATAGAGAGCTTCCCATAAGTTCAAATTTCCAATTCAAATTGTAACATTGGGATAGCACTAAATAAACAATAATTATTAAACAGACTATGCCCTATGTGTGCACAAGATTCCCTAACCTATAGCGTGAGTCCACATGGAATGGAAAATAAACAAAACAAGCATTTTTTAGTACTATTAAGAATATCAAAATAGGTTTTTATTGGTTTTGCAACAAAGATCATTTTCTGCTTTCATCTAAAAATGGTGTGGACATTCCTCAGCACTCTGTCTTCTCTGCCATGTCATCTTTTGCTGGTTTTGGCGTTAAACTAGTATTTTAAGCAGCCAACAGGCAATTTTACTACGGTCACAGTCTGATATACTTTAATAATCCTTTTGTCAGTTGTGTTGTCAGATAACTTCTAGGAGTTCTATCAATTCAGGATCTATTGGCCGTTTAAGATGGGTACATGTACACTTTTGTGGGTCCTAGGCACTATACTCCAGGGCCATACAGCTTTGAGCAACAATAAGTTCTGCATTGTTGATGTTTTTAATGCCACTATATTTTCCCTCTGTACATGCTCTACGTATCTCTCTGACTCAAGGAACTTGGACTAGCCTGAATACTAGTTGACAGGCATGCCTCTATGGTGAAGCAGAAAAGAGAGAAATAATTTATTTCAGACACTTCTGATACAATTCCTCTCTCACTAAGCCTGTTTACTGTTGTTTAGACTGCTTCTAAACACAGATTTTCAGCATCTCCAGAAATTCTGTGAGTTGAAGTCCACAAGTCATAAAAGGGCCAAGTTTGAAGACCCCTGTATTATACTTTTGTATGTCTTCTAGACACCTATCTGCAATCTAGCATGTAAGAGACATTCAGAAATTCTAAGGAAGTTTTGATTAGAAATAAGGAGTGTAAGAAACAGGAAGCATCCTCTACAAATTCTGTACTTGGCAGACTCAACAAGATTTTTAAAAATGTAGTAATAACTATGGAGGAGAGATTTTCATTAGGACCATAATGCTTCCATTAATAACCTGAATGGAAATTGATCCCTACTCTGCAGTAATTTCTAAGTGGGGGAGAGGTGAACCACGAGTGCAAATGAGGACTTCCTTATGCTAAGTAATTTTAGCATGATAAATTTTGGGTTTTGATCATGGCTGAGAAATGAGATATTTGGACTTCCTTCTGGCTGAGATGAAAAATGGGCTTCTCCACAGTAACATTAAATGTAATGATGTTGCTAACCATATAATTTGAGCAACATCTAGAGTGATCAAAAAGCAGAAGTGATTAACAAATAACTAATATATCTGAGCAATATAAGCATAACATCAGAAAACTAAAAGTGCCACTTTCATACAGGATTTAGCTGCTCTTTATAACAACTTGTTTGAGCATTATAGGAACCTTAAAATACAACCATATGTTTCTTTCAATAAATAGCAGCTTATCATGTTGATATCGTTTCATGTATATTTATTAGTATAATTTTCTTGGTCCTTTACTATAGATTAAAAATAATTTATTTAATTATTTGTTGTCAAAAGGAATAAACAATAGTTAACAGATGTCAACATTATAAGGGCATCATGTCAAGTGCTCCCTTTGGTCTCATTGTGTTTCTGAGAAGGGACCTGATCATCTGAAAAATGCTTATCTGCAGGCATGATAAAAACTGTGATGTATCTTTTCTGTGGCTATCTTCTGAGATTGAACAGCCTTCCCTCTGAGATTCAGACAGCCCCCACCCTATTATTCTTCCAGAGGGCTATGAAGACCTGGCTCTTCATCCAGGCTTTTGACTAGGGGGTAGATGGAACCCCAGGAAATCTAAGGACATGAAGAGTATGAAGAGTTTGTATGATATTGCCATAGGCTAATCGTGTTTATTATAGGACTTGGTTAGTTTTATTTATATTATTTTTATTTAATATTCTTGTAAGTACCTAGGATTATATTATTATATAAGATATAAGAAGTCATATAAGTTTCCTAAATAAATATTGGTCTTGTTTAACTGTACTTTTTAATGAACTTTTGTAGACATAGCTAGACAGTTTTGTAGTTTTATAGACTTTTGTAGGAACTGGATTTGGGTCTAGATTTCAGATGTACTTCTGATTCCGTTTTGCAGAATCTAGTCATTAGAAATGTACAAAAAGTTAAATCAATTATGCCAATTGTAAATATATTTGTATTTAGCTGAGACCATCTTACTACATTATTTAATTTTATTCTTGAAAAATATACACCACACAAATATACATGACCATCATGCATATTTACTTGAAATGAAGAATAAATACTACTTTTAATCACCAAAGAGAATATCAAATGTATATTACGACACGCTGATATCAAATTTATAATTTAGATTTATAACATATTATTTTAGTATTATTAACCACAGAGGTGGCAACCCATCTACATAAACGTTTATCAACACACAATTTTTAAAATACATTATAATTTTCTATAATGGCTTTGTTATGTGAGACATTAATAGTTTAGTAGTTAATCATTAAGATAAAGGCAATTTATTAGCCAGTCAATCATAAAAAATTAAAAGGATCTTGTTGAATCGCAACCAATATTTAGAATTTTAGATTACTGCCATTTCCCCAATGAAAACATGAAACAGATTAGTTGATTATTATACTATTTCAGTTTGACTGGGTAAGGCTAAATGATAGGACTAAAGTCCCTACCAGTGAAATCCCCCCAAGTGCAGAAGTATTAAGATGAAATAATATATATATTCTACTCACTGGGTGGTCTGTTTGCTGCCAAATTTTTGAAGTGGCTGCCTTTTATCACTTCTGCTGCTAGTCTTCCAGTTGTGGCATTATAAAGCAATCCGATGAGGATTTCGGGAGCTGAGCCATGTGTCAAAGATTGACAAGAGGAGATACTTTCACTGCAGGATGCCTCTGACATGCTCAATTGGGACTCACAGCCCTAGAAGCAAAAACAGCGTTTGCAACCATTTTAAGTCATCACAATAGTGAAGAATCTGCTCCTAGTATTAATTTCCAGAATCTTTCATTCCTAATGGTGCACAACGTAATGGAAATACATAAATAAATGAATGAATATGGGGAACCTATAAGCCATATTTATAGCATTAAATGCAAACTAAATCTCCACCGTTTGTCACATTTTGTGCCAAAGTAAGATGTATCACAAAGACTTACAGAATTATCGGCAAATGCTTAGCACTGCTCTTTGAATAGAAATGAATTTATCTGCTTATTTGTTTGTTTACTGGGCTCAAAGATATATAATCATAATAGATTCTGAGTGGTGGCATACAAATCTAATAATCAGATTAAAAATAAATAAAATGTATAAAGTATATAACTGAAAATATCTACTATTAACAGACCATTGCAAGGAGGCATTTCTCTTTAGGGGAAACCAAAATAACATATCAAGTCAAAAAGACACATTATAATAAAAAATAGGCCAGAAAGCGGGAATCCACAGCATCATGACCACTGAATATCTTGCTAATTTGTACACATACAACAGCATATGAAATTAAATTATAGTTTGTTTTAAACTAGGCATTTTTTTCACAAACAAGAGAAGCCCTGATTTTTGTTTGCTTGGTTTTCGTTTTATTAACAACATCCATTCAAATACAGAATAGTGAGAAAGAAGGAAAGAAAGAAAAAAAGGAAGGAAGGAAGGAAGGAAGGAAGGAAGGAAGGAAGGAAGGAAGGAAGGAAGGAAAGAGGGAGGGAAGGAAGGAAGGAAGGAAGAAGAGAGGAACCATGAGGAAGGAATGGAGAGAGGAAAAAAAGGAGGTAAGGATAGACAGGAAGGAGGGAGGGAGATTTTTGAAGCTCCCTGCCAACTTCCCACAAGGAAAGTCAATGGGGAATTTGGAAATTGCTCCCATTCCCACTGCTTTTTTTCCTTCCTGCAGTCATTCTGTTTCTCTGTTTAGGTAAGGAAATGGCTTTGAAAAATATCCTAATGGGACATGAGTTATCTAATCCAATTTATAACCCGGGCATTTCCTGGCAGTTCTAACTATATCCAACATCATTTTTCTACCCTGCGCCCCCTCCCCCCCCAAGTCAGTCATGTTTGACAATGTGATGCTTCTGGTTGTGAGAAATAGTGCTTCTAGCTGTTGTTAAATACATAAAAGAAATCAGAGAATACCATCAATAAGATGTCTCTCTATACAGTTCTCTTAGATTGTTATCTGTCTGCCTTCTTGAAGTTCTCTTTCAGCTGATTTTAGTGGTGTGTTTGACTCAATAATAAAGAGCCTTAAGGACATGCTATCGGTCTTTCTCAGGCTTCCAACGAAAAGAGTAAAGAGCACATGATGTAGGTATAGCCATCTCTTTAGATATTCCCTTGACTATCAGGAAACAATGAAATTATTATATACAAACCTCACCAGCCCCATACAAGACTACTTAAAATAAAATCAAAAGTAAAGTAAAAAAAAGCATAATTTTTTAATTGAGTATACCAGGAGACTGAAACATTTCAATATTATTATGTACAGACTTAATTTATTATTCCAGAGTATATAAAACTATATCAAATTTTCTTTCTGAAATCGTAAGTGATATTGAAAATACATACTTAGACAAATTATTCTACAGACAAAAGCATCACACTATTCATAGATTGGTTTTATTCCCAAACTTAAACTATTAATGTATGTTGAAAATGAAATGACAAACAGAATTGCTATATTGCAGTAAATCAGTGTTCCAACTTCCTTAATAAACATTTGATGAGGTAACAATAGGACCCATGTGCTACTTTTCTCATTTGATACTTGATCTATGATACTTTTATAAGATTTCCAATAAAACTTACATGGTATGTCACAGTGAGATAAAAATTAAGAAGATGAATTATTTAATCTCTCTGGAACATGATATGACAAGGCAGTGAAATTATTGCTTAACTATTTTTTATATATTGATGCCTGACAGACAGATATATGTCTATCATATGTTGCAACTTTCACTTATAAGTCACAGACAACTTTCCAAGTCAATGCCTGTCCTCCCATAAGGCACATTTTGTATCTCAAACAGGAGACTAGAAAGAGCCCAAACCATCCATTACAGTGAATGCACTCATAACTATCTGTATAGGGCATCTACACCCATCTGCTGCATATTGTTCTCAAAGGCAGAAAAGCCTAATATGTCAAGTAGGAGGAAGGTTCTCTTGTAGAAGGAAATGAGTAGATCTCTAGATCAGTGTTTCTCAGCCTTGGCAACTTTAAGATATTTAAGCATATTGGCTGGGGGATTCTGAGAGCTGAAATCCACACACAAGTTGCCAAGGTTGAGAAACACTGATCTAAATAGTTCACATGCTCTTTGTATATAAAATGCTGAAGCTGGACAATAGCCAGCATGTCTCTGTAGTCAGTGAGGAAGAAAGCAGGTCTACTTTTCACAATATCTAACAGATGTCTTGTTTTGAAGGACCTTTCCTCAGAAGGAAATACTGTGGGCGAGAAGGCTGGCATATAATCTATGCCAGAGGTCCTCAACCTGTGCCCCTGGAACCCTGGGAGGCCATAATGTCATCACAGGGGGTCCATGAAGGCTTGAAGATATGTTATGATTTAAATCTTGAGTTATGTCTTGGTAGTCCGTGGCCACAAAAAGTATTTAAAGTGGGTCGGTGGTGAAGAAAAGGTTGAAAGCCACCTGGTCTATGCTATAGCAGCACAAATGGTCTGACAATGCTTCATTTTAAGGTAGGGTCCCTACATGCAGAGTACTGAGGGATGGGATTATTTGCAATATGACCAAGAAAGGAGGAAGCATATGTTTCAGGGAGCAGAGTTTCATGTTCTGGCATTGGAGCTGCCTATTGTTTAAAGGAACACAACCTAGACTTTTTTCTAGGCACTATCTACTGAAATCCAAGATTTTAGGCAGTCTCAACCCACAGCTAGGTTATAGACTCTGAATATTCATATCAAGGTGGTGGATTTCTTACACATTTTGAGGCAAAATTTAGAGAAAAAAAATCTGAGCAAATTGTATTTAATATATACAGGTGACCGGTTTTTAAAGCTAATATACAGCATTATAAATAAAGAAGATATATAATAATAAGCAATAAAATTGCTGCTGAACTGGAATTGCAGGCATAGTGGAGGCACTAGAAGTCCATTGTTCATTAGTCTTCGATAGAGTCCTTGATAGAGTCAGTTTGGTGTAATGATTAACACATCAGGCTAGAATGTTGAGTTAGTCCTGCCTTAGCACAAGATCAGCTAGGTAACCTTGGGCCAATCACTTTCTCTGAGCCCTAGGAAGCAGCCAATGGTAAATTATTTCTGGAAAAAGACTTGCCAAGAAAACTGCAGGAACTTGTCCAGGTAGTCACCAGGAATCAAAAACTGACTCAAAGGCACACATGTACACAACACACAAACAAGAACACAGTCACTCTATCTGAACATATCAGGTGGGCAGAAACAACTGGATAATTAAGTTCTATGCTATGATCAGCATAGGTGACAACCAACAACCAACACTTTAAATTGCACTTAGAAGCTGTCTGGCAACCAGAGCCATTTGTCTATGAGTTATGACATACAGATATAACAAGATGTACCTATTATGGATCATGCTGCTACATTTTGAACCAGCTACAACTTCTGGCTGATCTTTAAGGGCAGCCCCACATAGAGCATTTTGTAATAGTCCAATTGCAAAGTAACCAGGATACAAGTGACAAATTATTTGAAGATTCCTGGCATTCTTCTCAAATCTTACTAATATGTATGCCCAATGGCAAGTCTACCTTATGCCAAGACCTGCCCTGCATTTTGAACTCCTTAGCTGGGCTACATGATTTAGCATTTGTATAACTAGTCTGAATTTACTTTAGGACCACTGAAAAAGATTTTGTCGTGGAGTTCTATAGGAACTGTGCAAGTGTATATAAGGATCTTTTTTATGTCAGTTAAGCACTGTGGAAATGAGTTCAAGACCAGGTAATTCAGAGTGTGCCATATGCTTTCTATTCTAAATGTTAATAGCAAGAACATTAAGCTCACATATCTATTGATACGGGGAATTTAACACATAGTAGAAAGCTAGGCTTCACTATTTCCATGCTAATGAAAAGCAGCAATATGTTTAGAAACAGTAGCTCCCAGTTTCATTTGATTCATCGGATGCATTTTTGCAACAAAACATTAAATGACTAGAAATATTTGAATAGTCCATATGAAATATTCAAAGGAGAGTCAAAGAGATGTAAACTCTCTAAACAGAAATATTTAGTCTATTGCATGTTTTCAGATATCCATAGATAGATATGTGGCCACAGATAGATCGATTCCTTTTTCCTTTGAGTGACAGGAAGTTCAGAGATTGAGCAGACTACTACCCAATTCCTGAACACTCCACAAGTAGGGTTATTTGGGCCTATAGCCCACTGGACAGATTCATTAATTGTTCTGCTACTGAAAAAGTTCTCATCACAAATTGCTGTGTAAATGAATACTGTAATCTTGTGTGGGGTTTTTAGGGGAAAATGGGTACCACCCCAGAGCAAGGGTTAGGGAACAAAGAGGAAGAAAGGAAAAATATCACGGTGTCCTTTAAAGGCTGCTGAAGCATCCCTCTTTACTGTGAGATCAAACTCTTCTTTCTTGTCATTGCTTCCTTATATCTTAATTCTTTGTCCAAGGATGCCTTTGGGACCAAATGAAGCCAAGAAGGAAGAGCAGAGCTGAGACTGAGTTGTAAGGGGCTACCTCCATAGAATGCAGAAGACTTAGCCCTGGGGAAACTGGGTCTTAATTAGAAAATAAATGACTGGAAGAGGTGCACTTCACCCTTTCCTGTTAGCACCATCTTTAATTATTGAGAATAACCTCCAGCTATCCTGTCGATAGATGTTTAAACTTGATCAAAAAGGAGAAATTTCCTGACAATGAGAATAATTAATCAGTGGAACTCCAGAGGTTGTGGTTGCTTCAACACTGGAAGTTTTTAAGAAGAGATTGGACAACCATTTTTTTGAAATGGTATAGGGTTTCCTGCCTGAGCAGGAGGTTGGACTAGATGACCTTCAAGGTTCCTTCCAATTCTATTATTTCTACTTACATTTTATCATTCATTAAAAAAAGATCCCTGAGGAGGCAATAGCAGTATTCAAAAAGTAACAATATATTGTTATATATTATTATATTATCATCAATATATTATACAATATAGTAAAAAAGAACCAAAACCAGGACTTTTTTGTCATAGAACGTCCAGAACGGAGTTCTGGCACCTGTTTTGGATGGAACCTTGTAGGGTAGGCAAGGCGGGTTGTATGACGTGTGTAAGTTCTGGCACTTTTTTTTTTTTTTTTTACAAAAAAAGCACTGACCAAAACCAATCAACAGAAAGGACCAATTAGCAGAAACAAATGATTTAATCACATGTATTGCAGTAGCATCAAATTGCTTTAAAAAGTCTGGGTAAATACCTATGTTTTAGCCAGGCACAAAAACATCCATAAGATTAGCATAAGGCATACTTCTAGCAAACAAACTTTACACTCCTTGAGAGCGAGCAATACTCATAACTAGAACACAATAGGAATAAATTTGATCAATGTGCCTTGCACAGTAGTTGGAGGAGGCAAGCTAGTCAGGAAAAAAAGAGACCTCTTGTCTTTGACCTCTCAGAGATCACTGAATTCTCATGGCATCCAAACAGCATGATCAGTGATCAGAGATAATGAGAAATGGTTTTTAGGATACCTTTCCTTGTTCTTACAACTACCCTACAGCAACGCTTAGCTTCAAATTTCTAAGATGTGTTTAACTATGTTTACTAGTGGCACCTCTGTTCAGAATCACTTACATGACTGAACACTTATTCTATTTGATTTAATACTTACAGAAATGTTGTATGCTGGTTCTAGAGTCACCGGAACTGACATCTTTCCTTGAAGATTTAATTTGGTTAAGTAAAATATCTTTTCTCCTAAAATTCTTTCTCTTTTTACACGACGAATACTGTACAGTCTAAAGCGTACTGCATAATTCCCAATCATCTCAGACTCAATATGATTAAATTTAAATGTCTCAGTAAAGACAGGGCAAGGACCACGCTGGATGCTGGTTTTTGCCCTCTGTTTCTTGATAGGAAGGAGAACTAGGTGTACTTGCCACAGACTTCCACTTGTCTTATTGTAATTTGGAATGTCTGTGACAGCTGTGACTGTTATTAGAAGCCTCTGTTCCTGTGAGTCATAGTCAAAAGTCACATCCAAGGTGCCATATTTAGCTTCTGGTTCTGGATCAAAGGATTTAGGGAGCTGTGATGATGATCCTTGAACTGACAGATCCTAAATGAAACAGAAAAAAGTAGCTTTACAGTCATGCACATGTGTTTAAGTATTTATATTACTACTGATATATATATATGAATGAAAGTAATTTATATAGATATAGATAAATATATGCTTTCATTACAAAGAATTGAAAATAATATCTTTGCTTGCATTATACGAAGTTTTTGTTTATTTCACATAAAGAGCAATCAAACATTCTATTAAGAACAATATATGCACAGCAACAAAAATATATTTTTATAGATTGCAAAAAAAGTAAAATGGATCATGGGGAAGAGAATATCCAAAGTCTTACTGGATCTTAGAACAGAGGGGAGAGTTTAAAGATTTTTACAGGAGATGTGCCTTAAACCAAAGAGATGTATTAATAAATCATTTATTCTTTAAGTATTGTCTACTAGAAATCTGAAAAAACATTTTGAGATTCAAATGTTCCAATCCTCAAGTATCCAAACTATCCATTATTGGAATGGCTCATTCTGACCATATCAGAATAGGTCTGATTCAAAATAAATTGCTCTCACCTCAATATAATGCATTTCAAGAATTTTGATAGGATCAAAATGCATTCCCACTCAAACCTCAAAATTTGAATGACCTTTCCAATGACAGAATTGAACATTTCGGGTTGTGACACAATAACAAAACATGTGCACATCGCTACTAATATATTTACCCATATATTTTATTTCACTGACAATTGTTCACATAGCTTTTGATTTGTGGTGTACATTCTACATTGTTGCAGGGCAGAAACTCCATACCATTTGTTTGATCCTAATAAAGATATGTACTAGGGGATGCAATTATCTAAGTTAGTATCTTTATTTTGTATTTTAAAGTCAGAATGAGAGCTTCTTGATTTTTGGTTAACTTGTAGAATTTGGATTATCATTATTTATAAAATTAATTAATATTGTAATTTTTGTGTTCCCATAAAGCCTTATCTAATAGTTCTAGCTGCTGGAAGACAACTAGTTAAGAGGTGCTGGATGATATATTGATGCATTCTACAAATGCATGTTGTTGTGGGAGTTGATTCGCAAAGCAGTTTCAAAACATTTTTTTCCTATGAAAATTCACTCATGCAAAACTCCCGCTCAAAGCTCTGTGCAGCCCTGATGATTACTATGTTTTATAATCCATGGTTAGAGCAATCAATGTATTCTGATTCTAAATGACAATATTCGTCTAGTATGGATTCTGAATTTTTCTCATAGTTATCAAAGCTGCAGTGCTGAATTGTAGTTTTTCATTAAAATGCAACAAGGAATAAAAAAAACACACTGTTTTCAACAAAATTATACTGATTGCAATAACAACAAAATAAATATAAAACAGAAAACTGCATGACAAACTTTGGTCAAATTGTTATTACACAGAAGCAAGGATTCACAATATAACTTTTATGTGAATAATTTTAAAAGGTAAAGATGGTGGTAATCTGAATTAAGTGTCTACGTAGCAGGTAGGAGGGTTTAAATCAGTGGTTCTCAACCTTTTTAATGCCACGACCCCCAACCGGTCGTAGGTCGAGGACTACCCAACCGGTCGTAAGTCGAGGACTACCCAACCAGTCGTAAGTCGAGGACTTTCCCTGCCCGGGAGCGCCGCGCATGCGTGGTGCCGCCCCCTGCGCCGGCCGAGGCGTAGCTGGCAAGCGGCAGAGACGGCGCAGGCCGACCACCGGCTGGGCCACCAGCTGGCCCAGCCCAAAGGAGGTCACTCGCTGGGCCCCACACTCACCAGCAACCCTCCCTGCGCCTGCCAGCCTCCCACCTCCCACCCCTGGCCCTCTTTTACTTACATTTTTAGTAGTTGATCAGCAGGGAGGGGTGGAAACTTCCAGACAGCTCGCCTTCGCTGCAGACAACTTGCAGCACCGTTTGCAGAATGGGACTTTTGGCAGGCTCAGCAGGGCAGAGACAGCCTGGATAATTCCTATTGGCTTTTGAAAGCCAATAGAATTAGACTCTATTCAAGAGAGTCTATTCTATTGGCTTTCAAAAGCCAATAGAATAAAAGGGAATAGCACAGCTAAGGAAAAGGGGAAAAAATGGCGGACTGCGTTGTTTGGCGACCCCCGTGAAATGGTCGTTCGACCCCAAATGGGGTCCCGACCCACAGGTTGAGAACCACTGGTTTAAATCATGATATTGCATAAATAAACAAAAGTGACAGATTTTGCATAATGTAATGCCATTTTGATACAAATGCTGGTTTCTACAAATGCCTCTGGATAGTTGTATGAATAACAACTTGTCCAACTTTCCTTAATTCCTTGAGTCTCTTTTACAAAATATGCATTTAGAGGAAAGGGAAGGAAAATAGGCCTACTTTAAAATGAAATATTGTGGAGTTGATGATATGTTTGTATGTATGTATGCATGCATGCATGCATGCATGCATGCATATATAATAATTTTGTCTGCTCCTCTAAGGCTGAACTTTGAATCTCAGCCTGTTATGTAAAAGTAAAAGGTAGTGTTTCATCTAATTGAGTTTGAGTCTACATAGGTTTTTTTTCTGTCCTCTTGCATAATATGCAACCCAGTAGGACACCACAACTCTCACCAAAAAGCTAAACGGGGAAGTGGTTCGTCACTGCCTTCTCACAGGATATTTTACAACTTTCAATCTAGTCTATAACCCTGGATTTTCAGGTCTCTCCTATCTAAGTCTTAACCAAATCAGACCGTGCTTAGCTTTTTGAGAATAGCTCAAGTTAGAGTGGTGTGGTGTCCTACTGGGTTGCATATTATGCAAGAGGACAGAAATGAACAACATTTTGGTGGTCAAAGGCAACAATTAACACTTGTAGAGAGGACAGGAATCCAAATACCATATAGTCAACGAGGTTTTGTTATATTGTTTTTGTTGAAATTGTGATAAATATATAATCTGGCATAAAATTAGAACTTTTATATGTTTCCTATTCCAAAATGACAAGAAAATGCACCACCAAAAGAGGTAGAACAGTTGGGGATCATAATATGCCTCAAAGTAGGGAAATGTAAGTATTAGCTCAGGAGTTCTACTTATCCTATGGTACATTTGGACAGGGCCTACACCATAATACTTTAATATGGAGACTCTAAGACAGGAGTGTCAAATTGCTGGCCTGTGGGCCAGATGCGTCTTGCCAAAACCGTGCCCACTCCATTGCTGGCAATGGAAAAAAACTCATGACACTTCGTGATACATCACGTGACATTGCGAGTTTGACACCCCCGCTCTAAGATTTTGCTATGTAATACAAGCATTGCTCAAACACTGGCCTTCCTTTTGTAAACACAAACTACTTCTGACATTTCTATTAACCTGAGAAAAAGTGTTTAAAGAGGGTTTTTTTAATTGTTTCTCAGAAAGCACATATATAGGTCAATGGATACCTGTCAATACATAATAGAAATGTACTTAAAAACTCATAGTTCATTTTATGCTAAACAGTTTTGGGAAATTTTTTTTTACCTCTGGGCTAAGGACAGCAGTACTATCACTAGGCACATCTTCTTCATATCCTTTGTTATGGAAACTTTCTATTTCATGCCCATTACTTCCTTCACTTGGGCATTTATAAGAACATCTTGGACTGTTGCTGCACTGAGAGAATTCACATTTGCTCTCACCAACTTCAGAAGGTGTACAGGAGAGATGTGGAGAGCCACTATCATCCTGGTATGGTGGAGGCTGCAATTCATCAAGAGGAGGTGTTTGTCTCATTCTTTGAATACAGTCTGCTGTGAAGAAATGACAGCATAGTCTTTCATTTTGTAAGTAATATGATTAGAGGGTAGGCATAGGATTTGTTTAGCTAGACCATATTCAAAGTGGGGTTCTGATCTAAAAAGAAATGCATTGAACTTATTTGATGTAACCTGCTAATGCTTCATAGATCCAGCTGTTTGTTTGCCCAGCTTCCAAAATGGTCCACCTTTGATAATTTTCACTGCTATTAATAGTTTAATTCAACTATATTTTGTCCTTGTATATGCAATAGAAACCATTATTACATTCTGATATATTTTAACTTTGCCTTGAATAATAGGTTTGCATCTATCAATATGCATAATGGTTCTTTGACTACTATCATTTAGCTGATGTCCTGATCATACATTCAGTCACTTTTGATTCTGCAAAGTATACTAAGGATCTTTGTCTTTGTGTTACACTTGTCAAAACCCATAACCAAATTACCATAAATGGTCTTGTTTATGCACTTAATTAATTACTTAAATGAGTCAACTAAAACATTTTATCCAATTAGAAACATAACTGTACATAACAAGATATTTTAAAATTTATACTCATTGAACTGGCATTCCACCTTCTATCTATTAAATAAAAGGGCTGCATCTTTTAAAATAAATTGCTTGCATATCTAAAAAAAGAAAGCGTGCAATTTTTTTCAAAATCAGTTTCTCATCATATGCACATTAACGAAGATATGATTAATTCTTCAATTTAACATTCAAAAAACTCAAATAATCTTACAGTAATTTATAGTTTGCGGATCAGTGGAGTACCATAATATAGTTTAAAGCAGGAGAGATAGAAGGTACTCTAAGAAGAAATAATTAAACAGATCTATAAGGAGAAATCCATTTGAGAATGCAGAACATTTACCATTCTCCTACCCATTTACCAGTAAACAATTTTTTTTAAAAAAAATCATTAACTAGGATTTATATAATGAAAGTTTCAACTAAAATGTTTTAGAATTTTTAGTTTTTAAAAATGTATGTACTGTCAACAACAACTGATTCCTGGGGCTGGCCCAGCCCAACACTAGGTTTATTGATGTGAGTAGCCAATGAAATACATACAAGTACAGTAACCCAAACCCCTTTTTTATTCTGTTCAAAAGAACAGAGATGCATTGAGCAGGTGCCACAAAGCAAGCGTGTAGGTTTGCAATTTGACGGCATACTTATACAATTTTAGACAAAGAAGGTATACAGCTTTGATTATTATTAATGCAAATAGATAAGTCCCTACTTAACATCAGTCGGCAGATAATATAAGTATCTTTTCATTATCTAAGTTCTCCACCTCTGGGTGTTACTGTTCATTTACTAATGATGAACTTTCATGATCTTGGAACTTTCCAGCACTTTCTGCCTATTTGACTCAAGCACTTGCAGTTTTAACTGTCATTCTAAAAGAGGGTTAAACTTTTCAAAAGGGCTTCAAATTATCCCATCATTGGCATTTACAAATATTAGTCCTTTCTAAAATTTTCCTGAGATAATACTCCAGAAGAAGTCTACTCTCTGGAGGGGAAAAAAAGAGTTGGAGAAACTATTAACACTACTAGCCAATTTCAGTGGGTTGTGAACAAGTTTTTATTTATTTATTTATTTTATATAATATTTTATTGATTTTCTAATTTTACAATTAAACATTTAAAAAGCAACATGGTAACTGGGTAATCAATGATTCCATAACATATATAAATCTTTAGCAAAAATCTCAAGTTACAACATCAGATATTTCCTCTCTTTATCCCTTAATATCTACTATCTCATATTGAATTAATATAATTCTTATTGTTATCAACTAAGTAAAACCATCTTTGTTACATATATCAATAATTTTGAATTTATACATATCTTAATTGTGTTTACATTCAATCTTATATACACCAATGTCCTGTTGTAGCTTTTCCCCCAGGCTTTAATTTCCCCTCAATATTCAACTTCACATTTGGTATGTTATAGTTTCTAAGCTTTAGGTAACTAGAGTTTCCCTTATCTCAACTTCTACATTTCCCCCTTTTTATAACAAAATCTAATATTCTAAATATACATCTTACCTATTTGCATATAATTTATTCTATTTTAAAAATTCTTTTTTTCCACCATATTAAACCAAAAATCTATAATCTTATTACACATCTTACCTATTCAGTTATAATATTACTTTATTTTCCAAAAAAAATCTATATTTGACCATCTTCAACCTTCTAATCAATAGTATAAAATCACCCTAATAAATCAAAACCCTAATTTCTTTCAGACTTACTCTGGCTTTTTTCCTTTGCCAACTAACCATCCATGTCAGTACTTTTAATTCATCAAACAGTTCTCCCTCTATTATTGTATGTATTATTTGAGTTAAGAAAAACCATTTAATTACAGTTTTTTGGGGAAGAACTAGCCCCATTATATTTCTTTGATCGCCTCCCCATTATTCAAGCTCCTCACAGTTGTCCTAATAAGTTTATCATCCATTCAGTCTGTTCTTCTTCCTTTTCCTCAAATTTCTTCTGATGTATGAAAAAAATCTTTTCCATTTTCAATGTTGTCACTCTCTTTTCTAATTTCCCCATTGGCTGGATCTGTTGGTCAGTTGGGTCCTCTATCTTAATATTTAGTTGTTCCATTTCTCCTGTTGCTTTCTGCATTGTTGGGTCTTTGGTTGTAGTCAAATTTGGGTCTGTATATTTAAGCTGGCATCTTGTTCCTTTATGTTGCCTCTCATTTTGTTACATGCTGAAAGAATGGTTTCATGTATTGATTTCAACATAGAAAGGATTTTTTTCCTGATCTTGATCCATATTCTCTTGATAATGTATTAAATTAAAGATTTTAAAATCAAATGTTGAAAGTAGTTTTTGTAGCTAGATGTATGACATCTATTTCACGTGTTGCAAATAGTCTTATAGTGAAAATTGTTTGGCAGGTAAGAATTTATAGTCCAAAGTATTCCATCATTTCATATACTAACAAAGACTTCTCATGTAAAGAAATAGAAAAACAGTTTCCCACATATAATTCTGAAAGTCAATAAAGATTTATCTTCATAGTTCAAATAGGCCCGATAAACCGCTTTGCAGTTCCTTCTTTACAGCTGTGTTTCTCACAGGTGGTATGTCAAGATCAAGAGGTTTTTTTCTAATTTCTGGGCTTCCAGCCAAGTCTCTTTTAGTCAATAACAAATTATAATAGCATATTTCACCACAAGATGTCACCAATGCCATTTAAAACTTTTTAAATTCCGAGTTTTAATAATAGTTTTTCAAGATTTGTTTCTTTTCTTTTTAAATAAAAGCCAATATCTCCAGTAAGAATAGGAAAACTTTTAGTTTCCAAATTTCAAAGGTATATGCATCCAATTAAACTAGAATTGTTCTTTTAATTGCTCTTTTCCCCTAGGTAGTCAATCGTTGCTGTTCTTAGAGGGTGGGGTAAGAATTCCCTTCCCTCTCTCCTCATAGGGGGAGAAATACTTTGGGCAGCTTTTGCAGGAAAAGTATTTAAAGTCTTAAAGAGAAGATCAGATCTCACCCAGTTTCATCCGCATTGCTTTAAAGGTGCTTGGTTGTAGTTTTGGCTTGGGCTGTCAGCAGCTTAATGACGAGCCATATTGGTATGGCTGGTCTTTTCCCCACTGGTTTGAAAAGCTGCCCCAGATCAAGCAGAAGGGTTGTTGCCCTTCCGCAATCAAGCGGGGGTCCTCTCCTTGCTCATCGCTCCTACAGGGCAACTTTTGACCCTTTCCAGGGTCCCCCAGTGGGATAAAAACGGACACTGAAGATGGAGCTCGCCTCCATGTGTCCACCAGTACCGTGATAGCAAACCGGAAGCTTGGTTTTTATTTATTTTATTAATCAAATTTGTACAGCTGCCCATCTCATCAAAAGCGACTTTGAGTGAGCACAACAATCAGATAAACTATAAATATAAAAACAACAGATATAAAAATATAGAAAACTACATTAAAAATAAATAATATAGAAAACAAATCTTTTTTCTGCAGGAGAAAAATAAAGATTTATAACTATTAGTATTAATGTTTAAACTGTCTCCGTCCTGTCCCTTCAATTTCAAAATGTTCACTTGTTCAGTTTTTCTTTAATTTTGTCTTCCATATTAGCTTCTTCCAAAAACACAACATTAATGCCAATTATTTTGTATTCCTCGCAGTGTCCCAAAGGTCTTTATCATCTCTTCCTATTTTTGTTCTAATATTCAGTTTTTGCAAACTATTTTTTTGTTTCATTAACATCTGTAAATTGTTTCATTTTTGTGAGTCAAAACTTTTAGCTAAAGAATAGCTACACCAAATCTCATTTTGTACATTAACTAGCTTTTTTCTTATTCTTTAAATTAGTACATGAAGACATATATGTTATTAATTATCATCCTGATTCTATCAAGTTTCTTTAGCGCTGTACAGCTTGATTATTTTTGCAAGTAATGCTTTGTAATCAGGCCTATTTTCATTCTCAGTGGTATACTCTGATACCCCTTGCTTCTCTTTTTCTGCTATTCTTTTTATGCAGCATTCTTCATGTCTATTTTTAATCTAACCTAAGTTTCAGAAGTTTTAATTCTTCAGGGGCTTCTAGCAAGTGTTAAAACAATTTAAATAAAACATAAAATGAAATACATGTTTAAAAATTAAACAAAATTCTTTAGTCTGAAATATTAAATACCCAGAGGTTTCTACTATGCTATACCAGCGTACTCAGTGTAAGTTGGATTTTCATCATATTGTAATATTTTTGGAGTTCATCTCACCAAATAACTCTGCTCTGTATCATGGGTATAGGATATCAATAATAAATATTTAATGAAGATATGCAACTTTTTACTCCCCCTTTCTTTTCAAACAAAAAATAATACAAGTAAAATTATACAAGTATACCTAGCTATCTTACAATGAAAGAGTTATCTCAGGTTCCAGTTGCAAAAGTTTTTCTTATAAAATCTATTTTCCCAATGAAAATAGTTAA